CTATTCAAGCCTAACTCTTGGCTCCTCCAGCTCAGATCAGTGACTTTCCAAGCCTTTCTCACCATCCGGGTTCTTCTGAAACCCTAACCTTCGAGGTTTTTCTGTTTCTTTTAGATCCGTTGTAGATCTGTGTTTTCTCTAAGCTCCTAAACGTTTTCACATGGTTTCTTTCAAAACTCTACTTTCAGAACCTTTGTCTTTTCTGACTTAGGGTTTTTTTTGTTACTTTATTTCGAAGCTCTTCTGATTTTTAAGCATGTCTACTGTGTTTCTTACATTGTTCTTCTACTATGTTTCTTATGTTGTTCTTCTACTGTGTTGCTCTTCTACTGTATTTCTTTTGTTGTTCTTCTACTGTGTTGCTCTTCTGCTGTGTTTTTCATGTTGTTCTTCTGCTAGAGTATGCTTGTTAAAAGTTTTAGTCCTCTTTGAGACTTCTGAATTTTATTTGCCTGATTTACTTGCTTTCATCTCTACACTCGATTGATGGTGAAAACCCTAAATTTGGGGATTCATTCGAGTTTTGAGACTATTTGCTATGTGATTCGCTTGTTCTTCATCTCTGAATTTGTTTGGTTTCAGAGCCCTAATTTCTTTGAACCTATTCGAGTTTCTGAAAGTTGTTTCATCTACTGCTCGATTGAATTTCTGAATCTTCTGTTTCTCTATATGATTCTAACTTCCTGCTAAACTCTCTTTTACTTGACCCTTTGGCATGCTATTTGATACTTTCTCTTCTCTGTTACTGAGTAACTGAAATCGACCTATGTGACTACCTGTGTTTGCTACTATATGATGTTCCTCTTTGTCCTAAATTCAGCCTTGCCTGCTTAATACTTATATACTCTTTTATATGCTGAGTTTCCCTCGGAAATGACCTTCAATTTGGGACTGATTTCAGACCTCCTTGTGTAAGTCTGACTGTTTATTTCCTTGTTTTATTGATTTCCCTGATTCTTGGGTTGATTTGAGAACTTTCCCTTAGCCTTTCGATTCTCCTATTTCTGACTTGGTTTATTTATAATTTCAAATCCCTGACTCCTTGATTTACTATGTACTGGTTGGTTTATTCTGTTTCTTACCTTATTTGGTTAACCGTGTATTTTAAAGATTCTACATTAATTCTTCCCTTAGTTAAACCCCTATGTATTTACCCCTAATTGCCTACTTTGCACAAGGTGCTTACTTGATTTCTTTCCTTAAAAGTTTTCTGCCCATTACCGTTTGAGTTTGAACTCCTTATATAAAGGAAGCCCCTTGTACTGATTGATTTTAATTGGTGCATAGTTCCATAATTACTACTAAACTATGATTCCTTCCTTATTTGCTACCTATTTTCAAACTATAAATACCCTGCTCTTTCATTAACACAAACACACACGAACACTCTGAGTTCTAAAAAATCACTTACACTCAAAAACTTTTCTCTCCTGCTTTACTACTTCTACTGTGGCCTGCCTTCAAGCCCTGCTACTTGCTTTTACTGTATTTTGCTCTTTGAACTGGTATGTCCTGATTTAGATTTTCAGCAATCACAAACAATGTGTTTACTTAATACCTTTACTTGCATGTCTGCCTACTGTTTGTGTTTAGTTCAGTGTTTACTTTAGCATGCTATAATTTCCTCCTATTATGAATCCCAAACCCCCTACCCCAATGTGTTTGATGCTAATGGTTTGTTTGAGACATGACCGTATTGAGTATTATTGTCTATGGCTCAAACTTGATTCCCCTGGAATCATAACCTCTATGTCACCATCATATGTTGTGTATTCTTGTTCATCCTGTAAGCATAACAACACTCTCTTTGTTGTGCATGCCCAGAATTTGCTAATGCCTAAGCACATAGGCTCTTTGGCAATTTCCCTAATCCCTGAACCCTTTGTATGACTTGTTTATGGCTGTTTCCCAGCACCTCTCCCCCTCTTCTTTACTTTCTTAGTTCTTTAAAACTCTGTTTCTGCACTTGCACTTTCTCTTAGACTTTAAGTTCTACCCCCCTCTTGTGAGCCTTGCCTTTGGACCCATTGAGCTCCCTCTGAACTTGGACACTCGAGGGCTGGCCCTTCCACACTACACTTGTCCCTATTCTGGTGATACAATTTGGGTGTGAGCACTGCCCGGAGTCCCACTGAGACTCTTAGGGAACTCTGACACACTCAAATTGGAGAAAGGGTTTAGATCGATGGTCTTTGAGTTGGTCTATCTCATAATTCAGGCAGGAAGTCAAGAATCAGGCCTTTTAGGGTTGTAATTATTTTCTTTGTATTTTTCTGATGTATTTGTTACTCTGGTTTGTAATAATTTGTAAAGAATACTCGGGGTTGGCTAGTGAAACAGGGTTGGGGTAACTATGCATGCAAAAAGGGTAGAAATCATGCCTATAGGTTTATTGCAATTATGCATATTTAAATACATATAGAAATCATGCCTATAGGTCTATTGCAATTCTGCATATTCAAATACATATAGAAATCATGCCTATAGGTCTATTACAATTCTGCATATTCAAATACATATAGAAATCATGCCTATAGGTCTATTCTAATTCTGCATACTCAATACATGTAGAAACCATGTCTATAGGATGTTCTAATATTCAGCCTTCCCATAAGGTTTTAAAATAAGTTTCACCTTCAGATACTATCCATAAGTTTTAGAACAAGTTCTGCATTTAGATATCATGTTCATATGTTTTAAAACAAGTTTTGCATTTTTTAGACACCATGCCTATAGGTTTAAAACGATTTCTGCATTAGATACCATGCCTATAGGTTCAAAAACAAGCTTTTGCGCCCAGATGCTACGTCTATAAGGTTTAAAATCAGCAATGTATAGAAAACATGCCTATAGGAGCTTCTAAATGAATCTGATTCGTTTCGCTCAATGTTAGATCTAAGAATCAGTAATAATATGTACTTTCACCTGCAGAACCTGTAATCAATCTATTAATTCTGCCTCTCTTTTGACAATCTGAGTCCTCCACTTAGCCAAAGTTTAGCAAGCATGCCTATAAGGTATCAAATAATTCATTCCGAGTTCTTACTGTCTCATCGCCTTCTGAATTCAGTAGATGTCATGCCTATAGGACCCCGTCTTAACACTTAGGCAAGCCTTAGAGTAATAATTAAAAACTGAATCTGCTTCTGTTAATTATTACGACCAGCAGGCAGTCCTGATTCAGGCTTCTTATCTGAATTGTGTAGTAAACCAATCTGCCCCAATCTTTTAGACTCCCTCGTTTTCAATTTTACTCAGACCTAAACAGTATGTTAAAGTCATGCTAATGATATTCGTTTCTGTTCAAGGAGGTATAACTGAGGCTTATATGTTTATATGTCTCCCTAAATATGCAGAATGTGTTTTGTATGTCGCCTTGAATTTTTACCTTTGAAACCCCAGATGAGCCTAGTATCCCTCCCTTTAGGATTAGTAGTCCTAAGTGCATCCGGGACTGGTAGGAACAGGACGGGTAATAGCATGCAATAAGTAATCGAGACAAATCCGCGCTTTAAATACCCTAATGGGGTGGGAATGGTAGATATGGATATGATGACCACGCGATAATGTCACGTGTAGCCCCTCATTGAGGAGTGATTACCTGACATTGTGTGGGGTGATCCATATTTTTAATAAACCTAGGACTCCCCCCTTTTTTTTTATTCTTTACTCTTTTAGCATTGTAACTCTTTAAAATCAGCTTTTCTAATTGCCCTTTTCAATCTTGCCTTCAAACCATTATGTGTTGAAATCCCCTCTTATTTGAGCCTTATTTGCCTATATGTTAATTGCATCTCAATTCACAATAATTGTCTGGCCTGGAACCACACTAGTGGATTCTGAGGGGTGCCTAACACCTTCCCCTTAGAATAGTTTCAAGCCCTTAACCTATCTCCGGTTATTCAAATCAAACTCTGTCCTAATGCACCCTAATCATTAGGTGGCGACTCTTCAATTGCTACACCCAGTTCCCAAAAGGAACGAGTTGTCCCTCCAAATGTCATAAACCCGATTTCTGCGGAGGAAAAAGGGGGCGTGACACCCCTTTGTTTTCTTTGATTGATTTGTTCAATTAGATTCCAATATCTTTAGAATCAAACAATTTGGCGCCGTCTGTGGGAATTTCTTTACCTGAGACTTTAGTTCCATCTAGATCCTTGAAAGAAATAATCACCTCTTCCTGGCCTCAAAAAGATCAATAATGACAAGAAAGGGGGAAGCAAGATTGAAAGCGATGGTAGACGTCACTAGCAACCTTATGGACTCTATCAACGAAGCTGGCCGGGAAGACAATGAAAATATAATGCCAGGTGCCACGCCCGAGGGAGATATCTCACCCCCCCTCCCACCACCCGCACGAAGGTGTGACAGTCTCGCGCGAGATGGAAACTTCAACATCTGCAGCAGGAGAAGCTCCACCAGCTGTGAAAAGACTTTTAGAATAGTGGTTAACAAACACCTTGAGCGTTATACTCGACAAACCTGTTCAAAGAAATATCGGAGGCACAATGCGCGCTGACACCACAACTATTATCGATGAGCCAGAAACTCCACGTGCAGGTTATGCTCACATAGATAACGATGCAGGTAACGACGCACTTGCAGCCATCCTAAAGAAAATGGAAGAAATGGAAAATGAGAACAAAGTGCTCTGTGATCAAATGAAGGAACACCAAGAAAGGGTCGATAAAATACTGGGCGCTCCAAAGATGCTACCCAAACGAGATGTCGGCCGATTCATCGAGCTGCCCTACAGTGAAGTGGCAGCCCCCATGCTATTCCAAAAACCTTCAAAATGCCGCCATACTTGAAAATATACGATGGCACCACAGACCCGGAAGATCACATAATCCACTACGTCACGGCAGTGAAAGGCAACGATCTGTCGAAAGAGCAGGTGTCATCAGTGCTGCTAAAAAAGTTCGGTGAAACCCTAATAGGGGGGAGCACTGACATGGTATTCCCAACTGCAGGCCCGGTCGATATCAACGTTCGAAGAAATGTCAGATAAATTCGTCACCGCTCATGCGGGAGCGAAAAAAGTAGAAGCCAGGGTAAATGACATCTTCGTCGTTAGACAGACGACAAGCGAGGGACTTCGGGATTTCCTATCCCGATTCAACACGGTAAGAATGAGCCTACCCAATGTATCGGAGGGGATGGCGGTAGCAGCCTTCAAAAATAGGTTAAATAGTAGCGGGTCCAAAGCAACAAAAAAGCTGCTAAGTAGGCTCATGAAATACCCTCCCACTACGTGGGTAGAAATCCATAACGCATATTGTGCCGAAGTAAGGGCAGATGAGGATGACCTAAATGGTCCGATCCAACGGCTAACCTCAGTACAAACCGAAATAAGGAGAGACCGCCGTAACGACAGTCGAAGGGACCAACTATCCCGTTTCAATCGAGAGAGGCATCAGCCCTACATACAGATGTCCATCCCACCTCCACCACGATATGTAGACGTCACGCCCCGATGTATCGTGCCACAACGGAATGAGAGAGGTATGCCCCCATTATTGTCTGCTCATAACTTTTGCGTTTCTCCTTTAGAAATAGTGTATGCACTAGAAAAGCTCGGCACGAAGGTGCAGTGGCCACAAAAAATGAAGTCGGATCCAAGCACCCGGAGATCGAACGTTCTGTGCGAGTTCCATCAGGAAAGGGGACATAAGACCGAAGATTGCATAGGCTTGCGACAAGAGGTGGTAAGAATGCTGAACCAAGGACACCTGAAAGAACTGCTGAGCGATCGAGGACGGGCTAACTTCGCTCGTGGGCGCGATCAACCCCAAGGACTCCCAAAACCACCTTCACCGGCTCGTGTCATACAAATGATCATTGGCGGCGGTGATGATACAATAATCAACCATGTGAAGTCCACCACTACACACAAACTCAGGTGAACAATCGCTCACAAAAGGTATGATGACCTCGAAGATAGTATCATCTTTGATAAGTCAGATACCCACGCTTTGTCTTTCCCTCACTATGATGCTCTAGTTATAACTTTACTATTGCGGATACCGATGTAAAAAGAATAATGGTGGATGACGGAAGCGGTGCATGTATTATCCACCCACGAGTCCTCGCTTAGATGAGACTCGGGGATAAGATAGTACCGCTGCATAACACTAACGGGTTTTAATTGTGAGCACGTGATTTTTGCTCTATATGAATTACTCCCAGAAATTCAAAACAAAATAATGTCTTTCAGTATTTGCAATTTTGTGGATTTTTGTGACATTTTCTGTTGATTGTTTGCAATTTTGTTTGTGCATTTTAATTAATAAAAAATATAAAAATATACTTGGCATTTGCATTTAGGGTCTAATTTCGCATTTTAGGATTAATTAGTAATTAGGTTACTTCAAGAACAAAGAAAATAACAAAAATGGTTCTTCTTGCATTTTATACTTTAATTTGTCTTAGGTTGCTTTTAAATTAGGAATTCGCGTATTTGGAAATTAAGTAATATAATTTTAGAGTCAATTTGGGTCTTTATTTTTGATTTGGCATTTAATAAAAATCAGAAAAAATAAAAAAAGAAAAGGAAAGGGTTGTGTTTAAACTAGTTTTGGGCCAATTTTTGAATTTAAATGCTGAGCCCAAATTATTCCCTTCCCAAACACACGCCCCGGCCCAAAGAATAAACCCCTAAACCCGTCCAAAATAGCCCAACCCAAACCCCCGATCCGGTCCGTCCCTTTACCTAACCAAACGACCCCGTTTCGATAAGATTCAATCCCAGCTGTCGAGGATCTCTGATCCAACGGCTGGGAACTGGTTTGAACTTAATATTTAAATGTCGGAGACCACCCCTACCCCCCCTAAGTCGTCTCTCTCACCCCTCATTATTAGAGAGTAACGCCGCCCTACTCCGCCATAAGCCGCCGGCCGGAAATCGTCTCCGCCGGCGGCGATACTTCAAAGTCGCTCAAAATTACACCCCTACACCGCCTTAACCCCCTCAATACGAATCCATGACCAACTCCTCTCAAATCCCAACCAAACGTCCCAAATCTACAAAACCCTAAATTGCATCTCCGCCGCACACGGTGGCGCCGGCTCCGTTCACCGCCAAATAACATCACAGAGTCTCCTCACCCTCCTCTCTTCAAATCCGTAAACCTTTTTCCTCAAATCCCCATTGAAGTCCTCGAATCGTAGATCAAAGATTTCATCAAAACCTTAAACCAACCAATCCTCGTCAAATCAGTATCACTTGGCTTCCTCACTCTCCTCATGAAGATTCCACCACCAGTGACGCTCAAATATTGCTGGAGCTGTTCCAATTTCAAATCCGAAGCGGCAGAACCCTAGGAGCTCATAGGCAAGCTTTCTTTGGTCTTTTGCACTTGTTTCCCTTCCATGGCCATTTTTCTCCAAATTAGTCAATCTAGGTTTTGTTTTCTCTTCTGTTTTGACATCCCGTTTAGGATCAGTAGTCGAATCTGTTTCGTCTGTTCTTATTTGTTTATCTTCATGTTTATTTGAATCTTAATTCACTAATAATGATTAGCATAATTTTGTTCGTCTAATTTTGCCATTAATTTAGTCATAGTTCTTTGTTAATTTTTGATTGTTCATTCTAAGTCGGTAGGATCTCTTCTCCTGTGATCAATTTTCCTTCATAGTTAATTCATACCAACAGGCCTTTATCTTGATTTAATTTTGTTCTTTCTTTGGTTTCTGTTTGTACTTAGTTGCGATTGATTCTATTAACATTTTCTGATTATTTAGTCTAATGTTCATTTCCTATTCTGTGATTGTTTAGTGTAGGTTAGGGTAATGATGATTTAGTTTGATTGTTAATTTGTTGATAACTGATGTTAGTGTGAATTAGGGTCAGGTTTCAGTCTCGATTAGTATCAATTGGATTCAATCTTAGGGGTTTGGACTTATTGTGATTACAACTGAATGGTCTAGACTATTGTTTAGTTAACCAGGGTTAGTAAGATGGGCTGGTGTCAACTAGTATAGGGTGGGTAATATCAGATTGAATTCCGGGTTAGTTTGGGTACTTAGGGAGCATAGGAAAGCTGCAGTTAAATTTAGAACCCTCTAGAATCTTCTAAATAGGGTCTTAGTTATAATTTCAGAAAGTTAGTGGGATAACTTGAGTAACAAGTCAGGAAATAGAGGGTTAAGTAAAAATAAGTGAGGGACTAATGTGTAAAACTAAATATCTGAAGCTGCCCCTCATTTTTTGCCTATAAAATGGCACTCTCATGCCTTGTTTCACAAGTTTGGCATCTGAAAAATCCCTCAAAGTTTCTAAAAAGTTTGCATCTGAAAAATTTCACCAAAAGCCTTCTGCAAGTTGAACAATCTGAAAATTTGAATCTTAAATTCAAAAACCAAATCTAAACTCCTAGAGTTCGAAATTTCATCTTAGATCTTAGTTTCTTCAAAAACCAAAAAAAAGAAGAAAAAAGCAAAAGCAACAGAAAAACTCCAAAAAAATACTGTTACATTGAAGTTTTCTTAGATTGAGTTCAAGTTTAGCTGTTAATTCGAGTTCCTAGTGCTCTTGGGTTCAATTTCCAGTTCTTTTGGGTTTATTCAAGTTGTTTTGGTCGGTTTACTGGTTGATTTGGCGTTAAAATACCTTCTGGGTTTTGTTTGACACTATTTCTGGATCTACAATAGATCACGAGCTGCTGACTGATCACTGCTACTGCTGATCTTACTTTCTTCTTCACTTTGTCTTAATTCCAGGTACACATCCTGAATTTATCACAATGTAGACCTCAAGTTGAAAGAATAAAATGGAGTTGATGCCTAGTTTTATTATAGATTTCAGTTGTTTCAATGCTTATTGTATTTCATTGTAATTAACTTGGACAGTATTGGACTGTTAAACTTGTGATTGTTCATCTAGTAGTAGCTTTAGTATAGAATAGCTTAATATCCTATTTTAGTTCGATTTTTTTTATTGAAGAATGTTATGAACTTGAAACTGAATTTGAGATCATAGACTTCATTTGTAATTGATATTTAGACATCTAACTGTTCGGAGAAATTAGTAGAAAACGTCAGTCATAGTGTAATTAATTAAGATCTAGCTATCATATCCAGTGGAAGTTAAATTCAGGATAAGCCTCTGGTTTGAAATTGAATCTGAAGGGACTAGGTAACTCATATTAGGTTTTACTATTGTAGAAGTTACAATCCTGTTGCTTAAAGTTTAGAAGATCTGCAAACAAAAAAAAAAGCATAAATATATCCAATCGTTGGCATCTTAGTTCCAAATCTGTTGTTTATTACATGTTATCCATCTACTTGTCATTAAAAGTGAAAGTAAGAGTGTGGATTTAGAAGCTGAAATGTTAATTAATTGATGCCAAACCTTGAATAGGTGATCAAGTCCTTAATCTTATATTTACATGTAAATTTAGTGAGGATACCTTTGTGTTGATGATCCAATATTATTTCAGCCATTCGAGTTATGAAGAGAACTGGGCCAACATCGGCCCAGCTATATTAATAAGGGGCCAAGTATAGCAAGTCCTGGGCCAATCTACTGGACAGTCTATTAAAGACAGGATTTTGTTAAATTTGGGCTTACACTCTAGCCCAGCCATGCAGACAGCTTCCCTGAAGTTGAGGGCCTTTTCGCTCTTCTTGGGCCGGTTTCGAAGCCCAAAGGCTAGAATTATTTGAAGTCTTTGGTTTAATTCGCAATACAAATTTGTGCCTTCGAGTTAGGTAGTGAATTTGAATTAAGAGGTTTTACTCTCTTGTGTGAATTCGGACTTGAATTCGAGGCCCGAGTTTTGTAATATTAATCATAGGGCCCTTTAGAGACAAATTAAATAGAGAATTATAGTCTGCTTTGGGCTGGCCTTTAAATAATGAAACGAGGTGCGCCGCGCCAAATAAAATGCATGAATTGTGTGGCCCTCTTTAAGTGCTTATACTAAAATACTTAGAATTCGGGACGTACCGTTTAGCGAATTTCACGGCCTCCCGCAAAGATAATAACACGCTAGTCGCTTTAGGCGCGCTTTTTAATAATCTTACTTTCCTAAATACGGGCGTGCATTTCATGCAACCCAAATCCAAATCCCAAAACGTTGAATAAAAATGTGTCGAGGATACGGGTGCATTTCATGTGACGTGATGCAAAAGCACGTTTTTAAACGACGTTCACTTTCTTAAAATTTTTTAAAAACTAAAAGCGGTTAAATAATTTTTAAAATTGCACTATAGGATGACATGAATTAAAATCAGACTTTAGCCAAATATAGCAGTTGAGCGACCGTGCTAGAACCACGGAACTCGGGAATGCCTAACACCTTCTCCCGGGTTAACAGAATTCCTTACCCGGATTTCTGGTCCGCAACTGTTAAACAGAGTCAAACCTTTTCCTCGATTCGGGATTCAAACCGGTGACTTGGGACACCATAAATCTCCCAGGTGGTGACTCTGAACTTCTTAATAAACGAATCCCGATTCGATTGTCCTTTAATTGGAAAAACTCCTTTATTATACCCTTCACGGGGTGTAGTAGCGAAAAAGGTGGTGTGACATTAATAATGCAGTTGAACGAACCTCGGGAGAGATAATGCTGCCCGTTCTGGCTGGAGGAGTCACTCTGGAAACGACTTTTCACGTTATAGACCAGGAAACAGCCTACAACGCTATCATAGGACGTCCGTGGATACACGCCATGCGAGCTGTCCCTTTAAGTTTCTACCAAGTGATCAAATTTCCTACCCCATGGGGAATATTCAGCATCCGAGGCGAGCAACGTACCGCCCAAGAATGCTACCGCATCGCCCAAGATTGCGCGCACACCTAACAACTAAAGGGAGCGAGTGCGGAAGCATAGCAATCAGCCATGTCGGGAACCACACCCGACATAAAAATAGAGGCCATAAAAGATC